ATCCGCCCTCTTGGTGGATCCCATTTACTTGAAGATTGAGTGCATTTCCCATCTTTTCTAGCGACGTTAAACACTAGTTGTATTGAGTTCCTCATTCGGTCTAAAAAAAAAAAAATAAATAAAATAATAATAATAATAATAATAATAATAATAATAAAATTTAAGTATTGGCTTCCGGGAGACCATCGGCCGGGTGAGCATTTTCTGACAAGAAGTATCAGGTGTCAGGCGATCATTCGCCCTCGAAAAAAAAATTTGCATGTAAGTATCAGGTGACGGGCAATCATTCGCCTGGCCTTGGGTGACCATAGCCCGAAAAAAAAAAAAATTTAAATTTGCGTGTAAGTATCAGGTGTCGGGTGATCATTCACCCAGCCTTGGGCAACCATCGCCCAGAAAAAATAAAAATAAAAATTGCGTGTAGGTATCAGGGGTTGGGCGATCATTCACCAGCCCTTGGGCGACTATCGCTCAAAAAAAAAATAATGATAAATTTTCTTTACATTCTTTATTTCATTGAATTTTCATTTATTGAATTTTTATTTCTTTTCATTTTATTGTTGTTTGTGTACATACATGTTATGTTTTAAAAAAAATAAAAAAAAAAAAAGAAGACAGCTGTTAAAAGTTCCATTCCGTCTTGCTAGAGACGTTAAACTTAGCACCCATTGTGTCTTTTATCCCTTGTATAGTGCATGTTTACTTTCCTTTTTATTTTTTTATCTTTCTTTCATTTTGTTTCTTTTCATGCTTTCATAAAAAGAAAAATAAAAAAAAAATGTTTTTTTTTCCATTGTGCACTTCTGCATAGTTATGCATGTTTTCATTCTTACCAAGGGTTTTATCTCATATCTCTTTGCATCGTGTTATATATTGTTTTGGACTGTATGCATTGCTTATCCCATGTGATATTTGATGTGAGTTTGCTAGTATGGTTATACAGCTAGGTTTTTGCATCCAAGTTTGGGGGAGACATCTTTTCTACTGGATCATTCCCGAACTTCATAGTCTTTACTATCACGGTATACTATTTCCATCATTTTTCATTGTTCTCATTGCACATTGAGGACAATGTACAATTTAAGTTTGGGGGGAACGTCATCATGATTCATTCTATTTGAAGTTGAGCTTTAAATACATGATGAGATTTGAGATGTGTTTGGCAAAGATTTCAAACTTTTGAAGCATAGTGCCTTTGAAAAGCAAATTGTTAGAGTCTAATACTTCTTGTATGCTCTAGGATGCCATTTAGGGGTAAATTTCAATTTTTGACATTATGTTTGCTTTTGTGGTACACATCATCTTGTTGGTTGAAAATACTTTGAGAGTTAATTCTAGAATTCTACACTTGCACTTATGTACACTAGCATTCAATTTGTGGGGTACATACTTAGTTGATTATTGTTTTGGTTTATCCCAGTTGAGCTAGTATGCTTTGAAAGCTTTCATTCTTGATAAAATGACCTTGCAAAGAAAAGAAATAAAAGCACTCACCAAAGATGAGCAAAATCAGTCGCCAAAGGTGAGAAATAAAAATAGAAATAGAAATAGGAAAAAAAAATGAAATCAATTTTTTTTTTTTAAATGTTTGATTGAATAACAAGGTTCATTCAATGTCTTAATGTCTGGTACTATATTTGTAAGCTAGTTTGAGGGTAAGGCTATGCCATTACTTTGATTTGCTAGGATAGAAACACATTTTGATGCCGGTTCACTAAAAAAGAATGATAGAATTGATTCAATTTGCATGATTAATTGCTTGCTGTATAGAGGACCATTCTTGCTTATATGATGTTGAAATGTTGAGAATAGCTTAGAAATGGTAGAAATTTGCATACTTGAAGTAGTTTAATTTCAACACTTGTTTGATATGTGTCGTTGCTTCTCAAGTAAGAAAGAGCTGTTGATGTTTGTGGATACCAATTCTGGAAACCCTCACAAGACTTCACTCATCCACTAGGGGTAACCTAAGGGTAACCTAGGGGTTGAAAAGGCTTGTTGCATATGCTAAATGCAACCGTGATCCCTACGAAAGTGGTGTTATCTTTATTTGCTTTATTAGTTCATAATTGTATATATGCTTGTTTCATTTTCATACTATAGTTTGATGAGTGCTCAAATGTGAAGCATTTTAGCACCTAAGCTAGGGTATTTTAATCCATTCATTTATCTTACTTTCATGTCTTAGATACTTATTGTGTTCTTGTTTATTTCAGGTAAATAAATTGCAAATAGGCTAACAAGGGCCATTTAACTCAATTTTGGAGCTAGGGAACAAAGTTGGAAAGAAGCCAAGAAAAATGCACCAGAGGAACTTCGATCGATCGAAGGGAAGTCTCGATTAATCGAAGTGGTCTACAATCGATCAAAATGAGGCGGTGCCAACTCAGCCAATGGGATGAAGCTTAGAAGATATTTTGTGCCACGTCAGCTTCAATCGATTGAAGCTTAGTGTTGGATCGATCGATCATCTTCGATCGATAAAAAATGCTGCTAGTAGTGAGCTGTCTAATTCCCGAGCATGTCGTTTTCTACCTAATTTGTGTAGGTGCGAAATTCCTCCAATCAGAGGCTGTAATTCTAACTTGGTCTTTACTCAAAGGAGTATGTAATTGATTTTAATGAGCATTATTGTAGAGACATCAAGAGATTTTATTAGAAAAATATATATATAAAATATCTTTTACTCTCTAGAACTAGGGTTTTGGGAAGAAAGCAATGATGAAGATGATGATGCCAACCTCCAAGCTAGCCCTTGAGGGTTCAATGACAACTACAATGAGTGGCTAAATCCTTCACTTGGGGCTAAAGATAGCCCCTAAGTTTGCTTCCTAGACCTAGTCTTTTGTATATTTTTGAGAATTTAATTGTAACAAATGTTTTGATCTTGGATTAATATATATCTTGTGGTTTCTACTTGATGTGTATGGATTTTAATGCTTTCCATTGATTATCTATCTCTAACCATATGTCTATGTATGCTAGAATGGATGATTTATGTGCTTTTCTCTAGATTTAATGGAATTAATGCATGTCTATGTGTATTAACGATGTTAATCTAGAGATGATCAAAACATAGTGTTTAATTGAATACTTTTGTGATTTGTTTGATGGTTCATACTTGTTTCTTGATGGATTGTGCCACACCTTTAGTTTAATTAGTTTAAGTTTCATGTCTCTAGCCTAGATGTAGTGTAGTTGTTTTAATTTCTTAGATAGGCGGACAATCTATTCTTGTTTCTTGATGTTCCGTACTTATGAATGCAAATGGTGTATGTATCTAGATAATTGTGTGTGCATTAATTTGTGGTTTTATTGAATGAAAATTGGTCTCATTTAATAGGTTGTGCTTTTCATTAAAATTGGCTAGACAATCTATACTTATTTACTATCCATGCTTAGTTTCAATTAATGTCATGTACACACACAAGTTAGAATTTAATTTCCCCAGTAATGTACAATTGCTAGTGTTTAGTGAAGTTAAGCTTAGTGGTGAACTCTAAAGCCCCAAGTCCTCTTTCCTATATCTTTTCTCTACTTTCTAGATTGCTTCTTTTTACTTGCATTAATTTTAGTTACATAATAGTTTAATCAACCAATCACCATCAATCTTTGATCATTCGACCTACTAATCCGACATTAATTTCCAATCACAAATACACCTCCTTTCCCTTGGGACAATCGCTATTCACCCTAGCTATATTTTTAGTTAGAGGTAGTAGTGGCTCTTTACAAATTTTAACTTGGCCACACACTCATCTCATGTTTTAGCTTGTCGGTCCGCAACACACCAAGTTTTGGCGTCGTTGCCGGGAATTAGGCAACGTCATATTTTGGAAACAATAAGGAATTAGTATTCTTTTGATCGTGTTTTTACTTTATTTTATTTTGGTTACTTATTGTGTTTGTTCTTGATTGACTAGGTGAATTGAGCAAAAGAAGTTAACCAAGGAGAATTCTAAAAGTAAGGAGCTAAGCTAAGCAAAAGCATAAAAAGAGCTAAAAATCTAAAAATTTACAAAGCATAAATTGACAAATAATTTGAAGTTTCTTAGGGACCCTTTGTGAGTTCTTTCTACTCAATCTCTAGTTAAATCGTCGGCCTGCGTGGTGGCAAGTTTTTCAATTCTTAGTTAAATCGTGAGCCCATGTGGAGGCAATTTAATTTTTCTTGCATATTATTGAAAGCATGGGAGTATGGGATCAATGTATGTGGAGGCTGTTTGTTAATTGATTTGTTGCGGAGGCGAATTGATTGTTATTTACTCTTGTTTTTATTTTGTTTGTGCATGTATGGTCGTAGGTCATTAAATCTAACTTTTGTCCCACTTAATTTGAATCTTGAATCCATTGTTCGTAATTCTAAGGAAATAGGTAATTTAAGTCATTCTATTTAATCAATGGAAGAGCACAATGACGACCATGTGGAGGACCTTGGTCACATAGACCAACAAGGTATCCTCCACCCTAATGTGCATCATGACAACATTCAAGTACCTTTGGGCATGCCAAGACCTTTCATTCTACCACAACAGCAAGGCCAAGTTCCATTGGGAATGCCTCGGCCAATTTTTGCTCCACAACCTTCCATTATTCAAGGCAATCAAGGTGCTTATGTTACACCACTAATTGTTAATCCTCCTCTTGCTTTAAGAGATCATTATGTGCCAAATGAATAAAATGCACCTACATGCATTTAGTTGCCCCCATTTAGAGCACATCACTATGAGATTAAACCACAAGCCATTCAAATGCTTCCAAATTATCATGGACTTCCAAGTGAAGAACCTTACAAGCATTTGGATGAGTTTCTTGAAGTGTATTCCACCGTGAGATACACGGACATGCCGAAAGAGGTTTTAAGACTTAAAATTTTTTCTTTCACCCTCAAAGACAAGGCAAAATATTGGTTCAACAATCTTAGGCCTTTTTCGATAACTTCTTGGGCGGAAATGCAACAAGTGTTCTTGAAAAAGTACTATCCGGTTTCAAAGACCAATGCTATCAGAACTTCAATTAGAGAATTTTCACAAGGGGATGGGGAAATGTTTCATGAGGCATGGGAGCGTCTCAATGACTTGCTTAGGAAGTGCCCACACCATGATATACCTAAATGGTAATTAGTTCAATTTTTCTTTGAGGGTTTTTTGGATTATTTTAAAGGAATGGTGGATGCTTCTATGGGTGGTTCTTATATTAATAGGCATGAGGATAATGTGTGGTATCTTTATGAAAGCATGAGTGAGAATTCAATGCATAGATCCTTGTCCTCCAAAAATGGTAGAAATTTAGGTGGAAGGAAGAATGTTGGCTTATATCAAGTTGACAATTCCAATGACATAGTCACCGTAATGAAATCTTTATCTCAAAGGTTTGATCAATTCTTGATCAACCAAAATTCGGTGAATCAAGTGTCTTCCTCCCTTAATCATGTTCATCATTCATCTAATTAAACATGCATGACTTGTTCTAGTATTTTACATTCTACTTCCAATTGTCCTCATGGACATATGCAAAGTGAGCATCATGAACAAGTTAATGCCACATTTGTTAACCAAGGAAATAATCCCAATGGCATACATTATAATCCCGGGTGGAGGAACCATCCAAACTTTTCTTGGAAAAGCCAAGGGGAAGGCTCAAACCTTCCCCAAGGTGGTTTTCAAGGCAAATATGTTCCGCCCCCAATGCAATGCCAAGGTTCTCAAGGTTATAGATCATCTTTTCAATCACATAGAAATCAATATTCTAACTCTCATTTTCCAAATCAATCATCCTATTCTTAATGAAATTCTAGGAGTCCCACTTTTGAGAAAAAAGTGTTAACCGCTTTAGGCACTTTAGAGGCAAATACTCAATTGCTTCATTCTCATTCTCAGTCCATTACTAAGCTAGAAACCCAAGTCGGGCAAATAACTAGTACTTTGAATGCTAGAGAGAAAGGGAAAATGCCTTTAAATGCCCCACCAAAGCAATAATTTGTTGTGGAGACCAATTCCTCCTCGGAAGGTCACACAATTGAACATGTGAATGCGGTGACAACCTTGAGAAGTGAAAAAAAAATTGATAATCAAATTGGTGTTTCTAATGAACAGAGTGAACCGGTGCAACCAAAAGTTGACACTCATCCCGTTTCACATTTTATTCCTCTTTCATTACATGTGAAAGATTCTTGTGTTGACAAAGCTTTAAAAGATGATTTGAAAAATTCTTGTGTTGAAGGTAACTTCTAAAATGATTTTGAAAAGGTTTATGACCCAAGAGCTCCATTTTTGGATGCCTTGAAATGATCCATTTCTCTTGAAAAGCAAAAGACTAAGGTCAATGAAATCATTAAAATGTTTAGGCAAGTAAAGATTTATCCTCCCTTCTTGGATGCAATTAAACAAATTCTGGTTATGCCAAATTCTTGAAAAATCTTTGCACCCAAAAGAGGAAGAACAAGAGCCAAGCACCAAAGAAAGTGGTCTTGATCGAGCAAGTGAGCTCCATTTTGCAACACAACACTCTTCCAAAATTTAAAGACCCCGATTCACCTACTACTTCTTGCATCATTAGTGACCATGTCATTAACTAGGCTCTTCTTGATTTAGGAGCAAGTGTTAACCTTATTTCATATTCGGTATATGTTAAATTGGGCTTAGGAGACTTAAAACCGACGTCGGTAGTTTTGCAACTTGCCGACCGATCCATCAAAAAGCCCCAGGGTATCATTGAGGATGTGTTGATTAAAGTTGATAAATTCTTCTTCCTGGTCGATTTCGTTGTCATTGACACGGAACCTGTTCCAAATCCCAAGAGCCAAATTCCTGTTATCCTTAGCCGTCCCTTCTTGGCAACCACAAATGCCAACATTAATTATAGGACGGGGATAATGAAAATCTCATTTGGCCATATGAAAGTGAAGTTAAATATATTTAATCAAACCCCGAATTCAATGGATAAGCATGAAGATGTGTGTTTTGTGAAAAAATATCTTGAAAATGATTTTGAAAAAGTTGAATCTTTGCTTAAACATGGAATTTTAAAAGATCTATCTTCAAACTTGATTTCAAGGAATGTTGTTTCAAAAACAAATGTTGAAAGCGTATGGAAGCTCAAAAGTTGCATTGACAAAGGACCATCAATCTCCTTTGAATCAAATCCAACAAGTTCTCTATGGAACAATTTGTTGGGTGGGATTCAAAAGTCCATTCAACCCGTCAAGGAAGGGATGCATAACAAGATTTTTGTTTCCGGCTAAAAGAGTCCAACGTCTTACTAGAGACGTTAAAGACTTATGCATTCCGTAGGGTTTGACAACCCTATTCCTCCCTCATTTCTATTTTTATATGTTTCTGCATTGTCTAGATATGAGTTAAATTGAAAAATCTGGCTTGAAAGCCATTTTCTACATTTTGAGTACTGCTAGGGACATTTCGAGCGATCGAATCACCTATCTTAAGGATTTTTGAAATTCCATTTCGATCGATCAAAGGTAAGTTCAATCGATCGAAATCCATTTTGGATCGATTGAAGTTAAGGGTTCGATCAATTGAAGTACTTCGATCGATCGAAAATGCGTCATTTGAATTTTTTGAAAATCCCTTTGGCCGTTCAGCTTCCTCGTTTTTATTTTTTTTCTTATTCTTTTCTTATTCGTTTTCTCCCTATTTTCCTTATTTTTCTTTTCTTTTCTTTTTCTTTTTCCTTTTCTTTTTTATTTTTCTTTTCTTCCTCACTATTCATCTTCTCCCTCACCCAAACCATAGCCACCACCATCCCTCTCCCTCACCCGATTTTCTTTCTCTCTTAAATCCTTTCAATCTCACTCTCATCTCCCTCAACCTCACATACCACCCAACCTTCTCTCATTCCGGCAACAAAAGGAGAAGCCGAAGCTTCATCTTTGCTGCACCTTCATTGACGGGGCAAAGAGCTTTTGGCCCGCCGTCAAGCTCTTCCTCCTTCCTCTCACTTTGTTTCACTCTATCTCCATTATTTTCTTCACCTTCGGCCAATTTAGGTCAAGGAGGACTCGAAAACAAGCTCCAATAACCATCTGCAGATTCTGGCGAGACTCCGGCCATCTTCTCTGGCGCCGGCAAGGTTGAAAAATCTCCATTTCGCTCCCGATTTCTTCCTCTACTCTTCTCTACTCTCTAGGTTGTCGGGTGAGTTCCAAATATTCGAATTTTCATTTTTGCATCATTTTATTTTTATTTTTACTTTTATTTTCTTTTGTTTCTTGTTTTTATTTTATTTTTGCATTTTAGTTTGCATTTTTTAATTTTCATCTTGTATATATGCTTGTGTATATAAAATCATTGAAAACAAACTAGAAAAATAAAAACAACAAAAACAAATAAAAAAATGCAAAATAACAAAACAAAATAAAAATTTTGTTGAAAATGATTTCTAAAAAAAAAAAATTTAGGAAACATGTGGCTTGAACTGAACTTTGATAACTGTTAAATGGTGATGGGAAAACATTGGAAATGGATTGTGGATTGTGATGGATGGTTGTTGATTGTAGTTGTTAGAAGGAGAACGGGTAAGTTAAATTGAATTTGTGGATTGTTATAGGTGGTGTCCCTATTTGATTGTTGAATTGTGGATTGAGAATGATTTAAATGTTGAAATTGTTTGTTAATGGATGTTTGTTATGTTTTGAAAATTTTTGGGAAGTCCATTTTTAAGAGGAAACCATGCCGAATTTTTGAAAAAATTTTACACTTTGATTTTAAAATCTAAAACGGCATGTGGTTTGATTTTTGGACCTTGAGATGAAATTTGAAAAGAGTTTTAATGTTAGTTTTGGAAAAAAAAAGAGTAAGAAAATGTTAAAATGTTTTCCAGGTTGAGCTATTGATGTTGATTTGGAAATGGCATTGACAAATTGAATTCTTGTAAGCATAGTTCCATCTTGTCAAAATGCATGGATGTGTTCTAGTTGCCTAATTTGATTACAAGCATGACTTGACTTGAATTTGTGCTTTTGAATTGAAAATAAAAAATATCTTGTCTTCAATGCATAAAATGTTTCAAATGGACCTCTTTGCAAAAAAAAAAAAAAAAAAATTTGATTGGATTGAGTACATTATTTTGGTAAAATGAACTTTCATTGTTAATATACTTTGTGATCACACTTGTTGGGTTTTAAATGATTTAAAAGGAAAATTTTTTAACTTTGTTTGAAAAATATGAAGTTGAGTTGCATGATTCCTTCCATTATTGTTCATTCATTGCATGATTCTTGTCATGACGTTTTTCTACAATGCAATTGAATGTCTTGACCCCAAAGTTTTTAAAAATTCTAATTTTTCCCCAAAAGTGTTGAGAAATTCCAAAGTTAACCAAAATGCCCTTAACGGAGTTGAAACTTATTCCATTTGATTCCTTTGCATCCATTTGCATGTTCTAAGTGCCTTTGAACTTGTATGTGATCTAATTCTTAATTCTTGCAATCCTAGGGCACAGTTTGATATCTTTGGCCTTAGTTTTAATTCTTGAACTTAGTTGAGATTTTGAACTGAAATGTGAACCAAGTTAGAACTGTATTGACTTGACATTGTTGTTTATCTGATTATATGCCATTGTCTTGATATCTTATACACTTATGATCTATTCTTGATGACCGAAGTTCTTTCCGGTCCAGATTTTGACTTACAGATGGTAAGCTTCTTGTATTTTTAGTATTTAACCATTCTCTGCTTCATTTAAGCATTAGAGGATGTCACGAGCAATGAGTGATCATAAGATGTTGATCATAGTATTTTTTGTTGCATTGCAGTACAGGATATTTGTTATCTGGAGTTGCTGTTACTTACGCATCATTCAGATACATGTCATCTAGTTGCATACAATGTCCAGTATTTTTTCTTGAACTTGTCTGTCATAACATGCCTTGGATTACTATATATTGCAACCATGCATTTCACTTAGTTTTTATTGCATGAAATGCCTATTTCTTGAGTCCTAGGTTAACATTTACCATGCATATATACTCCATGCTATCCTGTTGCTCTCTTTTGATCTTCATTGTTGCACTTGTAGACATTCTTGCTAGGAATTGATACAATGTCAACCTAGGGTCTACTTGTCATACATTGCAGCATTCTTTTGAGT